TTGGCTACAAACCTATTTTCATATAACTATGTAAATTGTATACATAAGTTGAAGGCAAGAAATTGGCCTGGACAAAGCTGGCCTGTAAATATAACAATTTGGCATTGATATCCAGGCCAGATTTTCAGACATTCATATATTTACATAGCATGTTCTTGATAACCGGTTTCTGGTTTCTATCATAATATCATATCACACGCGGACACGTTGCATTTTAAGCGCCATTGAACATGAACAAGTTGATTGAAATTTGCATTATTTAATATAAAATCAACCCAGTTACTCAACCAGTTTTCTATCATCAATTTCAATCTGCAACTGGTCGACAATTGTTGTTTGTTTGCGTATATTTTTTATATTTTTTGTTTGCTTGCTTCCTTCTTTAATGCCACAGACGCGCCCAAAAGCATGCAACAGTTCAGTTTCCGCATAATTCTGCATGCCGCCAGCTTAGTCTTCTTCTTCTTCTCCTTCTCCTTCTCCATTTCTCCATTTATGCAGCACTTGTTTTCATTGTGCCAAAAGCATGCTTCGTGCTTAACTAAATCTGCAATAAAAAGAGAGGAAAAATATAAATAAAAGTAAATAACAAGTCTCAACGCATTCCAAGCGTTCGCTAGGGTTTGCGGCGGCTGGGGGCTGGGGGATGGCAGCACTGGCTTTTCATTTTGAATGGGTGGCAACGCTGGCAGCCGGCGCCTTTGAGCGCTAGGTGTAAATGCAGCAAGTGCAAATGAGGCAAATTTCAAAGTCAAGTTTACACCACGCAGCAAATGTTTTGTGCTTCAACCCCCTCTCTTTCCCTTCCCCCTCTCCTTTACACTCCCACTCGTAGTGTATAGCTTATTCCACGCCTTGAATAAAGGCGTTCTCCATGCGCCGCAGTTGTGCATGCTAGAGTTAAAGATTCCTAGTCTCGGCTCGTAATTACAGCGCCTTTCATCTCGTTAACACCATCTGGAAATCAATGTGCATGTGTGTGTGTGTAAGTGACCGTGCGTGAGCATGTGTGAGAATATGTGTGTGTATTTCTAGTGTGGCCCACCTCAGCAACTCCTTCTTGGCCGAGCTGTGGTGGGAATCTACCTTTTTTTGGTAAGTATGTTCTTTCATAGGCATGTATGTGTACGTAAATAATTTGTATGTATAGTTGTGTATATGTTTGTATATGTATGCATGTATGTACATGATATGCATGCATGTATTTACATATATTAATATGCATGTTTGTGTGATTATTATTAATGCGTATATTCGTTCATGTGTGAATGTTGGTATGTGTATTTACATAAATACATACATACACACACATACCTACATTCATGCATACATGAATATACACACATATGGTATATACGTATCATCTCTTGCACCAATCGTGGTCCAAGTTAATAATAATGCATATAATCAAATGTTGCCGTCCTATGCGATTCTCATGAATTCAAGTAAGGCTGCAGGTTCTCCTGCTTTGACTATAGTGTTATCTTAAAAAAGTTGTGCTGGCAGTCTAATAATCTTGATCTATATTCATACTCTCTCTCACTCTTATTCTTCCTCTCTCTCTCTATCTCTCTCTCTATTTCGCTGTCACTCTGTGTCTCTTTCCTTTCTCTCCCTCTCTCTCTCGCTCTCTCTCTCTCGCTTTCTCTCTCCTCTCTCTGTCTCTCTCTCTCTCTGCCTTGCTCTCTCTCCCTCTCTCTCTTTGTCTCTTTCTCTTTGTCTCTCTCTCTCCCTCTCTCTCTCTCTCTTTCTCTCTCTTTCTCTCTCTTTCTCTCTCTCTCTCTCTCTCTCTCTTTCTCTACCTCTCTCTCTTAAACTCTTGAAAGCATGTGTAATATAAATTGGTTCTATAGGTGTGACCTGTGCTGTGCTTGCTGCCGGCAAATGCGATGCGCTTTACGTTTTTTTTTTGTAACTGACTTTCCCACGCCTTTTATTACACAATATTCCCGCTCTCTCTTTCTCGCTCTCTCGCTCTCTGTCTCACACGCGCTCTTGCCTTATTTTAAATACATATGTTAGATTTTTATAGAAGGGGCTCTAGAAGGTTGGGCGGCCGCCTGAAAGGTAGAAAAAAAAAACTCCATTTGAAAATAAAAATGCAAGAATTGTTCTAAATTTGTCGAGCGAGGGCGACGGGGGCAAAAGGCGACGCGTCGAAAAGTGAAAGTGCAGAAATAAAGAAAGGGCCAACTGAAGTGGCTGCCAGCACAAAGCAGATGCGCGAAAACAAAGGAAAGAAGGGCAATAGCAGAAGAAGAAGAAGCAGCAAACTTACAAATCTGTAACTGTCAATGCTGGAGAAGAAACGGGAACAGAAAAAGGAATTGATAAGAATACGCGCAGCATATCAAAAGCAACTGTAAATTGATGTGTGTCTAGGCATATATGTACAAACATACATACATATATACATGTGTAATCTCTTTAGCATACATGCACACATATATGTGATATACAGTACAATTCCCACTCCCCACCCCCCCCCCCCCTCGAGCAATTCCTAGCTGTTTGTAATTGACGCAAAACAAAAAGAAGAAACTTTCATTTGCCTTTTTGTAATTAGTTAACAGTTGCCCGCTGAACAGCGGCAACTCGAATGAGCACATGTGAGTGTGTGTGTGTGTGTGTGTGTGTGTATGTGTGTATACTGGTACACACATACACACACGCAAGCACGCTTCAGTACATAGCATTTTCGTGTGTGTGAACGCTGTCACATGCATGCGCGAGTCCTGTGAGTCCTGCAATACATAAGCGGCCGCACATACACGCACACTCACACACACGCACATGTGCTTGTGCTCTCACGCACACACACTTGAGCAGCCGTTACAAATCAACCGTGTGTGTATATGTGAACGAGAGTCCAAAACTCACGTATCATATGTGTGTGTGTGTGTGTGTGTGTGTGTAGGGGTGAAACGAGTTCCGTGCGGATAAACATACATAGCACACAAACGTGGGCGTGGCCAAAATGTCCCGTATGATGCGCCTGCATGCCTACTCCATGGTCGTGCGAGCGAGACGCAAGCACTCGCTTTAAATAACTCTCCCGAAATGCGTGTGACGATTGTTATGTGTGTGTGTATGTGTATGAGTGTGTGCTTGTGTTCGTGTGTTGGTCGCCTAACTGCTTCACTCTTATGGCAGAGTTCAACAGAGCGGGACAGGCTACACGACAAGGACAACAGCGAGCTGTGATATGTGCCGTGATTTGATTTTATTATGAAATTATCAAATGTCCGGATATTGCAGCACATATGACTATTAAGGCACACAAAAAAAGATAATATAATATTGTAGAATAAAATCGCACAAATATATTTATTTATATGGGCACAGCCAAAAGTAATATTTACACTATTTAAGCTTATACACATTTCCTAAAACTAAAACTGATTGCCTTCTAGTTCATTTAACAGTTTGATAAACTTAAATGGTATTTATCTTATATTCAACAAATATTTTCCATATTTGAAATATCGCGCCAAATTGCAGAAAAAGTTTCCAGTTCTTAACGCTTGGAAGTGTCATACAAATAATACCGGTAGAGGGCGCCCCAATAGCATCTCAGAACGCATTAACAGACTTCATTTAGCGTTTACAGTGCGTAGCGGCTTTTGCGACTCATTTTTGCGTTAACAGCGTTTGCATTGAATCGTCTGTATGTTATGTTAGGGACATTGACTAGATTTGTAATATAACGGTAATCGGTTAGTTAAGTTTGATAGGTGAAGAAGTCAAATGAGTCCAGTTTTTTGCTTAATCAATGTAGTTCCGCACAGGGAATAAATTTCCATTGATGAAAAGCAGCTATATTGCCTAACAAAGAAACAAACTGAAAAATTAGACTATTTGTGCTAACAGTGCCAACATGAGTCAAGTATGGAGAGGCAAATATCGTAAATTAATATTTTGATGAGCGATCTACCAACGTAAATTTAATTCAAACACTCACACTTAAAAGAAATAAAACATTTTGGAAACAGACATATATTATATTTTTTTCTGAAAATAACAATTAATTTATTTTTTGCGTGGGAAATTATTAAATGTAAGTGTTTGCATCTAATTAAATTTTCCGAAGGATATATTCTTTAAGTATACTTTTATTGGTTCAAAATTAATTGCATTTGGAAACATATAGTTGACAAGCGCTCAATTTTTAATCTGCATGTTTGAATGGAATTTTAAATATGTAGATGGGCTATCGAGCTATCGAGTGCCGCAGCTCACCTCTAGCTCTTCTCGATATGGGAACTGAACGACACAGACAAGCATAATCGAATTTCAAAACGAGCAGCATGTGTCCCAAAATGCGCAATGTTGAGCAACGTTTGCAGAAAGTATGGCTTATAATAAATTCTATTCACAGCTCGCTCTATTCTTTTCAATTCTGTTTTGGCAATACAAACTGGGCATACATATATAACTTATGTGCATATATAATAATGCATATACCGATACAATACTTTCGATATTTATTCATTTTAAAGTATCGATAGAAGCTTATAAAAAATTGGTATATAATAACTCCCTTCTTTTTGGTAATAATGCTTTGGCTTTGTTCTGTAAAACTATTAAAAACTAAGTAAATTATATTTTAAAATTATATTATAAGGAAAGACTTTCGAAAGCGAGCTAAAACTGGTAATACAAAAGAATTCATTTCAAATTGCGTGTTGCCACAGCGCTGCACCCTATCGATAATAGCCGACTATCGCAGCAATCGATAGTATCGACCTTGTCTTGCAGCGCTAATGTGCGGACGCGATTCGAGCAATAGCAACAGCAACGACGACAGCGCCACAACAACACAACACAATCAATTTGTGTGAAAGTGTGCAAAAATATTACAAAATAATAAATTCGAAGACAAGCAAGAATTTGGCCCAAAAACGAAAAAGCCAATATATAAGAGCGACAAAAAATACACAAATATTTTTTGTTATTGTTCGAGTTTATTTTTTTTTTGTTATTATATTGTGTTGTAGTTGGCTGCACGGACGGCAGCAGCAGCAGTGGCAGTAGAAAGACGCAGAAAAAAAAGTGAAATCGATTAATAAGCGCAATAGGCAGCAGCAGCAGCAACAACAAGACTTAGTGGAAAACAAATAAAAAGCAAGGAGCAGAGTTTAAAGTTATACACGGGCGAAGGAAAAAATCGCAACAGAGATTTAATTTTAATGTCGCAGTTAATTTGTGTGCTAGCAAGAAGCAGCAGCAACGGCAAAAACAACAACGACAACAGCACCAGCAGCAGCAGCTGAGGCAAAAGCTGAACGCAAAACAGAAAACAGAAAACAAAAAACGAAAACGTACAGCAAAGAAAAGCAAAGAACGTACGACGCAGCCGTCGCAGCCAGCCTCTCTGCTGTGTGCGTGTGTGTGTGAGTGTGCGTGGGTGCGAGCGAGGCAGCAGCAGCAATAGCAACAGCAACAACAAAGCAGAACAGCAACGACGACGTCGACAACAACCTCAGCGACGGGCTGTTGTCGTTCTTTTTATTTTCGTTGGTGTTGTTTCTTTTTGACACAATTCAAACAAACTCGAGCGCAAGCGGGAGCTTTGCACTTAAAGTTTGTTTCTAAGCTCGACTTTGTGTTTGCAGCTGCAGCGCTTGTGTGTGTTTGTGTGTGTGGGCGTCAACAGTCACTGGCAGTGGGCAGCTCCAAGAAGAACGCAAGACGCAGTTTTTTTTTGTTGCCAGCCAAAAACTAAATCAATTTACTGTTGCTGCTGCTGCCGACTACAACAACAACAACAACAAGAAGAACGAATAGCCCGAACACACAACAAAGCAGAAAAGGAGAAAAACAACAAGAAGAAGAAAGCAGCACAGCAATAGCAACGACAACAGCTGAAAACATATGATTTTTGTTTTTGTGCGCCCTGCGCTGCCCCTTCTACTGTGTCCGCAGTCATAAACACAACAACAGCAGCAGAAAAGCAAAAAAAAAAAAAAAATAAAAGAAAAGGTGAGCAGTGGAACGTCCGGAACTGGAACGAGGAAGCTTGCATTGTTGTTGCTGCTGCTGTTGCTGCTGCTGCTGCTGTCCACCAATTCTCAACTGCTTCTTGACGTCGTAACAACAACGCCAGCAGAAGAAGCAGCGTCAAGTGGTAAGTTGTTGTTGCTATTGTGCTTCATATTTCTTCTTCTTTATTTTTTTTGGCTACTTTTAACTGCGTTTCGTTGTGTTGACGCGCAAAACAAGCTCACGCACATATGTATATATAAAAAAAAAACAAATGTAAATTTTATACAATTTGTTTATTTGGTGTTCACTTTTCGAAACTATTTCAAGTACACACATGTATATACATATATGTACATGTGTATGTGTGGCCAACCTATTAAGGCATATAAGTAATTCGTGTGTTTGTGTGCGTGTGCAAATTACATACATATGTGTGTATGCATTACACGATTTCATAATCTATTTGTCACATTTATGCATTATTCTCTTGTGAAGGCAGTGAACATTTTTGTTTAAGTTTTTTTTGTCTAAATTCGTGTTGCTTTCAAAAAATTCGTTCACACAGATACACACGCACATACGCACACACACACACACACACACATACTAGAGAAGCAAGCACTGCGCGTTAGACAGACAACGGACAGCGGAGTGAAACGCAACCAAATGAACCAAACTGATAGTGAAACACTTTGGCACAGTGGTACGCACATATGCATATATGTACACACGTTTACTGTGTGTTGGTTTTTGTTTTTAATATCTGTGATAAAAAACGCAGATGGATAAAGCAAATTTTAAAATCCAAAATAAAATGTATATACATATACATATAATATTTTACTAGTGTGTGTTCCGTTAGTTGAGTCATTAATTGTCAGTAAAAACGTAGTTAAGCGGATATCTAGGGCTTTCGTCATTTTGCTCTCTCAAGTGCTTAGATGTCCGCTCAAACGGAATGCCGAAATAAATCAACTGTTAAACATTTCATCTTATTGTTTATTTCGTTTGTCATTTATTGACGCATTTGTGTCACTGTGCACAATGCTCTTCGTGCTCAGAGAGAGGCGACAAAAAGAGAAAGAGCATAAACACAACATCTCATTGCAGCTGACCGTTTGGTCTGTTTGTTGTTGTTTCATTCTTGTTTGTATTTGTTTTTGTTTTTGTTTTTGTTTTTCTGCGTCTTGCTCTTGTTTTTCATATTTTGATAATTGCTTTCGGGCTGTCTTTGGGGGTCTTTGTTCCAAAATTATTAGCAGCAGCAACTAAAAATAAAGCAATTGATGAAGAAGCAGCAGAATAACAACGACGCAGCAAATGCATTGCAAGTGACAGCATTTTTTTTTATTTATTATTTGTATATATTTTCGATTTTATTTATACAAATCGCGCATGTCAACGAACAGCGGCCATTGTGATGGCATTTTATTTAATTATGATGTTCTCTATTTTATTTTATATTAAAAAGTGCAAAGCGCAAAGATGCTGGCACAATCCTCGCCCCCCCCCCCCCTCTCTCTCTCTCTCTCTCTCTCTCTCTCTCTCTGTCTCTCTCTGTCTCCCTTGCACTTGCCTCCCGTGAAATGCTTAAAAGTGACTGCAAAATGTTTGCCAAATATTTGAGTGAGTGCGAGCAAGAGAGTGCAAATGCAACAGTAAAATAAGAAAGTAAATATCAATGCACTCAATTTTGCCACTACGTGCACAAGTATTAGTATAATGCAAATGTATAAGTGCACGTCTGGGCTAGCAAAGCTTTAGAGTGCCCGGCAGCTTACGTTCGTGTGCTGCATACGTGATCTGAGAAGCAAGAAAACCACTTGCTACGCGGTGTGTTTTTTCTACCAGACCCAAGTTGTGTTTATTACTGAAGCCAGAACCACGTCGCTTGCAATGAAAATATTCTATTAGTACCCCAAATGTCATAATATGCAACTTACTTGCATACAAAATCGTACGTTTATCGATTGAAAGCTTTACCTTTATTCACTTGTTGCTCTCTTTTGGTTTTTCCTTATTACTTTGTCATTAAAATTCTACGTAATTATCGACTGACGTTTAAAAATACGCTCTTAACTTCGATTAACAGTAATGATTATTTGCGTTATATAAACTGGACTGCATATCAATACTGTTATACTGTGCTACACACTTCTTAAATGCAGCGCAAGCATTGTAAATGTTCATTTCACATAATTGTCATATTTTTGTCAGTAAAGTCTAACTTTTCTGCATTTCAACTGGTCACACTGCGTAATTTGTTATCAATCAATTGCGTACATAATATTGTTAGTCTTCCTTTGAAAATTTAATTTCAATTATTAATAACATTATTATTTTATCTTTGTGTTTCTTGCTATCTACAATTTCGTATAGAGCGGATATATGTACATATATTGATTTTAAAATAACAGTTTCTTAGCCCCTAAGTTATTTCACGATTTTTCCAATGACGCACTCAGAATCCCCTTTCCACCAGAAACTGAGGAACAAGTGTTCATATAATGAACATCAAATTGCATAGTGTTGTACGAGGGCTGTTCATTGTGTCTCTCCCTCTCTCTTTCTCTCACTCTCTCTCTCTCTCTCTTACTTGCACAGAATTGCGTGCGCTTTTGAAATGCTGTGTGCATGTGTATTTATAGTAACACCTGTTCAGAAAAGTATACTTGTATGTGTGTTACGTTTTGTTGTGATTTGCTTTGTCTACCAAAAGCGCTTTGCGTAGATTTTGTCAAGTGGCAATGAACAGCATAAACAATAACACACACATACGCATGCACATGAGCTTTTTTTTTCAGCATGGTATCAGTGTGTATTTGGTTTTGCGTGCACAAAGAAATCGAACAAACGAACGAACGGAACCATTGGCTCAGATTGCTGACTAGCTGGCTTATTAACATTGACACACCAATTTACACACGCACACACACACGTGGACTCACGCCTCACTCTTCACTCACACAGCTAAAGTTCGCACACAACGAACGACGATTGTTGTTGCTTTTTGTTCTGCCTATGGCAAAACAAAGACGAAATGCGTTGCGTTCGTTGTAGGTGTGTGGGGGGGATTTGTTGAGCTGTGAGAAGGGGTAACTGTTGCTGCTGACTGCAAGCACACACATACATATGTGCATACATACCTCTGTATGTGTAGCTGTGACATTGCATTCAGTTGCTGTTGCTATTGTTATTGTTATTGTTTTCGCTACTGCTGCGCGTGTGCGCAAGTCAATTAAGGAATGCAACGTTTTTCGCCCTGTGCTAGTCTTCCCTCCGTCTTCTCTCTCGCTCTCATTCTCTCCATCACTATGCTGCTTAAAACACAAAGAGCCACAATACACACATATTTACATATGTATTTAAACTGAAATCAACTTTGCTGTGCGTCATGCGCTTTGTGAAATAGTTTTTGGCTTAACCTTAACCCCTATTGTTGTGCGCAATAGTCTTTCTCTTAAATGTCGGGTGCTGCATACCCTATGCAAATTTTCAAAACGTGTGCATGTTTTTTGTTGTTCGGTTGGTAAACTGGTTTATATTTTATGCATTATTATTACCCAATTGTTTGTAAATACATATTTGCATAATTGTTTGTTTTTCCCCATTTAACAAAAACACACCAACATATATAAAAACCTTCAAGAACTTAAATTTAATAAAACATCTATCATATGAATGAATTGCTCTCAATTTCGTTACGCCTTATTACGGGGCTTGGCCCTTAAGCCCCACATTACATACATGATATTTTTTGCAAATGTATTTATTAGTTATGTGCATATATTATTTCACAATGTTGATCTTTGGCTTGTCGGATTGGCTCATGCTGTTCATTATAAGAAATGCTCGTCATGTTTGCTTATCAAACAATCTGTTTCAATATGTGTGGAGGCTACAGTGCAAGCTCCCAATAGGATAGGCAATTACTACTTAAGTGGTATGTGTGTGCATCAAAATGGGTTTAATTAATTTCCATGCAATGAAATTAGATCGACGAAAATTTGTTAAAAGCCTCTTTTTCGACTCGATTAGCTAGCAAAACGATAAGTGGCCAGCAAATCAGCTTAACTGACTGCTAAATGGCCAACAACAATTTGCCAAATTATAAACAATTTACAAGCACTTAAGCCTTTAACCTCTACAAGCTCTGTTTCTGGTCTGTGTGACAAACATGCACCTTGCCCGCATATGGGTTAACGTTACTGTTGCTATTATAGCATTCGTTGCGGACAGCTGTTGCTCGCTCCATCTCGCTCCCACTTGTTGGTCATACTGAAAGCTTGGCTTTGCGTTTTGTTGTGTGCTTTTCTGTTGCCGTTGCTTTTGCTTCGTGCTTGTTTCGTTTCGTTTGTTGCTGCTGCTTCTGCTGGTGGTGGCCTCATGGTGATAACTACCGCTTGCTTAATGTACACACACACACACACATGCATATACATACATATGTATGTATATGTATGCAACATGTGTATATATTTTACAGTAATAACAAAAGCAAATCACGTTACAAAAATTTGTTTACCAATTTGCTTAGATTGCCGTTATTATGTTATTGTTTTTTTACATTTGCAATTTGTTATTTACTTTGTTTATTAAAATTAATACATATGTGTCCAATTGCGTGGTGCACACTGTTGTTGTATGTATGTATGCGTGTCTATGGGTTTTATTGCACTTAATTTACGCCCCATGGAATTACTGTCGCCCCCTCGCATGTGTGTGCAAAAAGCAAGGCAAGAAAAAAAAGTTGAAAAACAAAAAAAAAAACACGTAATGCGCTAATAAAACTTAAAAGGGGTGCGGGCTGTAGAGAGAGACGGCGGGTGAGGCAGCGAGGAGAAGGGCCTGGCACGAGTGTGCAAAGATTAAAAGCATTTGATTGAGACAAAGCAAAAGCCATATACGCAACAAAATGGAATTGAAATGTTAGCGAGAGCGAGTGCGCGAGTGTGTGTGTGTGTGTGTGTGTGTGTGTGTTTCGTTAATCTAAGAGAGAGAGAAAGAGAGAGAGCGTGCGCTTCCAGTTTGTTTATTTATTTTGCTTTCTATTTTGCAGTTGACAACAGCTGGCAGTAAGACACAAACGGAGGCTGCAGCGGCAGCGCAGTTGCCACACAGACAGACAGCCTGTCACCGTCATCATCTCCCATCTGCATCTCCCATCCTCCTCCAGCCGAGCGAGCGAACAAGCGGGCAACTTAACGAAACTCTCTCTTCGCACACTCAAGCACTTTGATTGAACGAAGCAGCTGAGACGGGCGGCAGCCGTCGCTCCTGCGCTTAGGGCAAGGCGATCTCACGTATAATATGTCCGCGGACTCGCCACGCCGCCATCACAGCCATCATCATCATCATCATCATTCTGTTGGCGTTGGCGGGGGCGGCGGTATCGGTGTGCGCGGCGGCATGACCATGCCGGCAATAGTCCCGCCACAGACAGTCAGCGATCGCTCCATATTGGACTCGGCCATTGGGTTTATCAATGATGTGACGCTGGTGCATCAGCCGGTGCAGGATCCCAAGGATACCATCACCTGGGCCCGTTTCGAGACGAGCGCCGATGTGAGCGATCCGCGCTTTGGCGATGACTGGGAACTGGAGGGCAATGCGGCACCACCATTGCTGCTCATCCTCGGCTACGGCCTCGGCGTTCAGGTGTGGGCCATACCCGCCAACGGTGAGGCTGTCGAAGTGTTATCCTGGCGACATGGCGTTGTCACCGCACTTCGTGTTCTACCCACGCCGGCAACTGCGACCACCGCACTCGATGACAATGGACGCGCCGATGAGCCAGTCGATGCCTTTGCCGAGAAGCGGCCACTTGTGGCCCTCGTCGATGGCGGCAGCGCTGCAGCCAGCAGTCTACTTACCGGCGGCGGTGGCGGCGGAGGTCACATCTCTGGCGGCGGCATGGGCTCGGCGGGCGGCGGCATTGGCAATACCTCGGCCGGCTCCTCGCACTTCAGTGCCGTCAATTTCGTCTCTTTGAAGACGGGCGCCCAGGTGAAGACCATCAAATTCAAGAATGCCGTGCTGGACATTCAAGCCAATCGCTCGGCGGTGGTCATAAGCTTCCACGAGCGTCTGGCGGTGTTTGATGCCCGCACACTGGAGGATCGCCTAACTATAACCACCTGCTTTCCCAGTCCAGGGTGAGTTGAGCTCAATTATATATAGTATATTCTAGTAAGCTTTAAGCTCGACTCTGGAGCTTTAAAGAGTTGTAGGGCAATGACAATTGCTGAAAGTTGAACTTTAGCTTTTTAATGTTCGATCTGTTTTAATACTTTAAGTCGCACTTTGCGCTCGGTCGATATTCATTAATTCACCAGCTTTGTTAACATAGCATGAGCAGCTTTAAAAGTATATGAAAGCTATCCGTAATGTAAAGTTCTTATGAATCCTTGAACAGCTGAGTGAAGCGTTGACTTAATGCTCAAAGCTCCTCTTAAATGATAAAATGTTAACTCAATGCTTAAAGCTCCTCTGAAATTATTAAGTGTTGACTTAATGATTAAAGCTTATCTTAAATGATTAAGTGTTGACTTAGTGCTTAAAGCTCCTCTTCAATGATTAAGGGGTGACTTTTTGATTAAAGTTTATCTTAAATGATTAAGTGTTGACTTAATGCTTAAAGCTCCCCTTAAAGGATTAAGTGTTGGCCTAATGCATCTTATCTTAAATGATTAAATGTTGACTTAATGCTTAAAGCTCCTTTTATATGATTAAAGGGTGACTTAGTGCTTAAAGCTCCTCTTACATTCTTGACTTTCTTTCGCTCGCTGTAACTTAAGTTATGTGTGTGCAAATGATTGAGCCTTAACGGCTCTCCTCTTAAATCGGGATAAAGCCCTTGAGAGCTTTGAGTTAAAATGTGCTTAAAGCTCGTCGAAAAAGTTTCTTGTGCCCCAACTTGTAGATATTCTTTATTTGCTTGAAGATGTATTAAATTATTAAAACTAGTTTGAAGCTCCTTATTGAAAATCGTATTAAATCGAGTCGTTTTATCTTAACACCCCGCAGCATCAACCCGAATCCCATAGCGCTCGGTCCACGCTGGCTGGCGTATGCGGAGCACAAGCTGCTCCATTCGAAGCGCAGCGGGGGCGGCTGCGATGGCGAGGGTGTGCCCAGCTATACGGCAACGGTGCTAAATGCGGCCAAATCCTTTGGCAAGGGTCTGCGCGAGCTGGGCGAACAGGTCGCCGCCGGCTTGACCGGCACCACTGCCGGCAGCGGCAACAGCTCCAAGAGCAGCAGCTTCGACTCGGCGACAGGCGGCGCCGATGCCAAGCAATCGGGCGTGGTCACCATTATAGATGTGAAGGTAAGTCCTCGACATAGATATACCTTTTGATATGTGTGCTAATATGCTAATGGCTTGTTTATCGGCAGCATCCCATTAAGGATTATAGTCCGACGACGGGCGCGCCGCTCGGCTTGACGGGCGCCCATGCGGGCGGGGATCCAATTGTTGCCCACTTTGTGGCGCACAGCGAGGCGCTGGTGGCCATGGACTTCGATAGCTCTGGCATGCTGCTGCTCACAGCGGATCGACGTGGCCATGATTTCCATGTGTTTCGCATACAGCCGCATCCGGTGGGCTCCAGTTTGGCTGCCGTGCATCATCTGTATGTGCTGCATCGCGGCGATACCAGCGCCAAGGTGCAGCATATTGCCTTCTCGCTGGACTCACGCTGGGCAGCCGTTTCCACGCTCCGCGGCACCACCCATGTCTTCCCCATAACGCCCTACGGCGGCGCCATGGGCGTTCGCACCCACACCTCACTGCATGTGGTCAATAAGCTGTCGCGTTTCCATCGCAGCGCCGGCCTGGGCGCCGACGGGCGCTCCAGCTCGCCCATATCGCACTCGGAGAGCACCACGTTTGTGCAGTCGCTGCAGCCGTATCATAATCCCACATTGCCGCCATTTCCACGACCCGCTGTTGTCCAGCCGCTGGCACAGCTGCGCCAGCCGTTTGTCCTGGGCTCGCCGCCAGGCAGCGCCACGCTGGGCGGCGTCAGCGGTGGGTCGGGCAGCAGCAGCTCGGGCGGCGGCGTTGGCTCGCATCATCAGCGTCAGCGTTTGTCCTCGCTATCGGATGATTGCGGTAAACCGTTGAGCGTTTGCGCCACCTTTGCCAAGTCGCGCTCCTGGCTGCTGGAGCCGCCGACGGCGACGCGCGAGGCGCCGCATCGCGTCCAGCGCAAGGCAGTCGATTCGCTCTTCGTTATGGCCGGCCATGGAGCGCTCATACAGTACGATCTGGACACGAAGTTAGCCTCAAGTGAGTTTGCATCAATATTTAGAGTCTTCTTGTGGGCTCACATGATTTCTGCCTTCCAGATGTTGCCAAAGAGAAGATTTGTGATGATACGCCCATTGAGTTGGAGGTGGAGGCCAAGGCGCAGTGGAATCTGGGCCGACGCAAGGATGGATCTCAAGAAATAATACCACCGCTAGCGCTGGACAATTGGCTGATCAAAGATCGACATGCCAGCCTGCTGATGGACAGCGCCCATCAGTTCGATGAGCCCGACGAGCGCGCCGAGAGCTGGTTGGCCCAGGTCGAGATTATCACGCACGCCGGTCCACATCGCCGGCTCTGGATGGGGCCGCAGTTTGTTTTCAAGAACTATAATACGCCCAGCGGGTAAGAAAGGATCGACAGGCAAATGATGTACATAGAAATACTCGCACCTAGTGGACCTCTTAGCTAGTTTAAGCCAAATCTTGTTAAGCTTTGATAGGCATGCGATGTAATATTCTGATTAGGATTGGAATTGTCAAATTATATGTCGAACAGACAAGGACTCTTTGTCCTTCCTCAAGGGCAGTTCTTTATACAAAGAACATCTCATTTGCGTCCATTGTTCCCATGTCAGCTTTATGAGATATAGTGATCCGATCTGTTTGATTTTTACATAAGCATTTCCTGTAACCAAATGACGCTTCAGCACCAAGTTGCATCCACAAAGCTTTATGGAAAGCTTAGTTCGTATGCAACATATTTTGTTTGTTGACTCAGCTCAATACATTTGGCAAATTTGGTATGTGGGAACTCGTATAGCTCAGACAGAGTAAGAACCTGCCAAGGCTTGGGGCCGAATCTCTTGAAAATCGAATTGTACAAAAATGATGCTGTGTACATTTATATTCAGCCAACTGGCTCGAAGTCGATCTATGTATATAAAATATAATATATATATATATAGTATATATATATATGGCTGTTCCTTAAGTCTATTTTGAGAAGCATCCGAGAAGCATCAACCAGTTCTGCTTTAACTTGTTGAGAACTTTAGCGCGTTAAGCAACAAGCAAAAACAAAGTCCACTTTTTGAGTTTTTGTTGTTGTTTCATTTGCTCCTCTTAAGCAAATGAAAGACAAACCTTTATTTACACTCCAACTAATTGCCATATTAATTTTGCAGCTCCAATTTGAACCACGTGGACGCGGAGGCCGTGGAAATAGGCGTTACCAAGGCGACAAGCACAACGTTGCCGTCAACGGCAGCCGCTGCATCGGCTGCCTCATTGACGCCCAGCGGTGCCATCATTGCCGCCGTGGAGCGTTCCAGTCCATTGAACATGCCGCTGGGCGCAGCGGCCGGGCTGGGTGCCACTGTCGCTCCCACTGGACGCGCCGGTGTGCCCGTGCTCATCGAATCCGGTTCATATAGTGAGTGGCTGCCATTTCATTGCGCTGCGAATGTATCTAAAGTTGTATTTGCTTTGTTCCCTGTTGCTGCTGCTGCTGCTGCTGCTGCTTGCGCTGCTGCAGGCAGCATTGAGCAGAGCCCCAAACTGATGGATCGCTTTCGTCACGGGCACTTGGACTCGGATTATGGGCACGGCGATATGCGCCTAAAGGAGGATCTGGCCGATGCCATGCGGGAGTCGCCCTCAACGGCGGCAGCACGTCGCGAGATCGGTAAGTCCCTCTATGGAAGAACAGTTCCCAAACGGATTCAATGCCATATTTATTGTTCGATTGAATCTGTTTTCTATGCACATATATGCCCCAAAGATATACCCTAAACTGAATATACATATCTGAAAACAGATTGTGATGGTGTTCAAAAGTGATTTGATTTAATGTTCAGAGTGTTTCCTTACTAATTCAATAATTATTATTAAAGTGTTTCGCGAAATTCGCTTGGGCATATTCCAAACATTTAATTTTAAATTTATTTATAATATATATTTTTGACATTTAGCAATGTCAAAGAAACCCGCTTATAGAGCTTACCAAAATCCGTTGAATTCAAAATTTAGTACATATATATGTATGTGATAGAGAAAATCGTATAGCTCTACTTTCTAAAGAGTTCCAATTTCGGACTCGAGTCCGGAACTCCATTCCTTTTGTTTTAATAAAAAAAAATATTTTAAATAATATTTTTAGACATTTGCAAGGAATATTTTCTTAACTGTATACAATTCGAACCAATTTTTTTTTACGGAAAATTTAAAACTAAATAATTAATAACAAATTAATCAAATTAATTCTGTTTTTAAAAGTTGTTAAGAACACAAAATCATAAGAAAAAGGTTTTACGCAAAATTAATAATAAATCAAATTAATTCAGTTTTTACAAAGTTTTTGAGAAAACAGAACAAAACATTTTCTGCTAAATTAATATGAATTAAAATAAATGTAATCAAATATATTACTAAAAATTTTAACGAAAATAATTTAAAAAAATGTATAATAAAAAAAATTTCAAAAATTTTTAAGAACACAGAAATATAAGAAAAAGGTTTTCTACAAAATGAATAACTAAATAATTAATAAAATTAATCCCGTTTTTTTTATGTTTCTCAAAGACAAAAGATACATATAAACTATGATGTTCTTTAACAAAATAATACAAATTAACTTAATATCTTGATAGTTCCGATTTCCCAGCGAGCAGTAGGCATAATTTTAAGTGTTGCATAACAAATGTTTTCAACGTAAATCACTTTTAAACACTATTATTAATCGATTCGTATCAAGAGTTAAAGAAAATTCGTTATCGTTTGCCGTTCGAGAACGTTTTAAACTGTTTTTAAATTCGATGCCTGTTTTCACGTCTGTTAAAATTGTTGTCTTAAACAAATCATGATTTGAACGCTTTATGGAAAATTTGTGATTGAATTTGGTGGAAAAGAAAACACCACGAAATTGGCATTGGTTCTTTTAAGTTGTGTAACGCGGCGGCAATTGCAGTTATTATTTACAAATTTTAGCAACAGATTATGTACTAACTAATTCCCGAGCATTACTTTCCCCATCTGTTCCCAAATCAAACCCAAATAAAGCCCTCAACTCATTTCCACATCAGAAGACTTCTCCATTCATTGTGCGTGTGCGTGTGTGTGTGATTTCTGTGTATGTATATGTGTGTGTGGTTTTCGCTTCATCATATTTTCAAATATTTTCCAAAAATTTAAATCAAAACATAAATCAAGTTTTTTGAGTAAAAAATTTGTTTTTTTTTTTTTTTTTTTGAGAAAAGAAAATTGATTTTCTAAAAAATAAGTATTTATTATTATATATAGACTATTTATAAATCTTGATTTGCTAATTAAAATCATCTTGTGCAACCGAATTTATCGAATCGAGCAATCAAATATTTTGTGCTTTTGTTTTTTTTTTTTTCTCAAATGTATTTTGTGCATTGTGCAACACTGGTTAAGTCTCTATCTGAGCCCAGCTTTTGAACATTTTCGTATTAATACTTATTTTTGTTAAACATTTTAATCAATATTCTATTAATATGAACTAAATTTAAGCTAACCAAAACATTTTTATCACAGCTGAAATGAAATTGAAAATATGTGAACTTTTACACCCAACCAAAGCAGAAACACACACGCGCACCGTAACACACACACACACACACACACACGCACACACATACAACAGTTGGCTTCAATTCTATAACTCTGGCATATTCTCTAGCTGATTCACCTTCGCACTATTTCTCCGTCTACTTTCCTTTCTGTTGTTGTAGGACTGTCCATTCCCCCCCCCCCCCCTGTGCTTCACTGTTCTAAATTTCCCCAAAAAAAAAAACCCCTAAAAAGTCCCAACTGCAATTGCGCTTAGCTCAAATCACAAAAAAAAAAAAACAATACTGCAGGCGAGCTGCTTCTACTTTTTTCTTGCGCGCTTGCTTCTTCTTCTTCTTCTTCTTCTTCTTCTACATCATCTTGGACTGCTTCTTCTTCAACTACACCCGCTTTATACGCCTCACTTTTTATTGGGCTTTTCACCTCGTTTAATGCTTTCGTCGAGTTGCAAAAAAAAAACAAAAAAACAATTTAACGACGCGTGCGAGTGAAACAGTGAGAGAGTGACAGAGAGCGAGAGAGCGTGCGTGCTTGCGTGCGAGCGAGTGGAGGAGAGAAAGAGACAGAGAACAGTTGAGAAGAAAGAGCACATGAAGAACTACATGAATTCTTGACTAAAAAGCCAAAGCCATATAATTTCGTTTAACTTGAAATGAAGAATAAATATATAAAAATCTATACAATATATATATATATATATATATATAAATGTCATATATATATATGAAAGTATATGAGAATTGATGAAAATTCCAAAATTGCATTTCTTTTTTATTTTCTTTTAATTATTATTTTTGCTGTCTTCCAAAAAGCGCTTTTACTTTTTACGCTTCAAAATAAAAACTCACTCCAAAAATAAAAAAACACTAGTAAAAAACTGCCAAAAAATATATATATAAAAAAAACCAATAATTTAGTAGCAAACATTTTTCACTCAGCAAAAAATACATTAAAAAAAAAAACAATAAATATGTATGTTTTTTTTCAATTCATTTGCATTTAGCTTGATGCGTTTTTTATGCTGTTTGCATTTTCAAGTTTTTTCTCGTTTTTCTGTTTTGTTAACGCTTACTAAGAACAAGAGACAATCCACATATATACATATATATATATACATGTTATATATATATATTTAAATATATACACATGCATATGGAAAATGTTAATTGAGTAAAATGTTGCACAGGTTTTTGTGTTTTTTTTTTTCTTTGTTGTTTTCTTTCGCTCATTTTTTCGATATGGCAAACGCGCTTTTCTCATAATTTGTTTTCTCTTCTCTTCTCTTCTCTGTTCTGTGCGCCTCGTAACGAACCACACCCTGCCTCGCCGCGACCCTCTTGCCTCGTCAGGCCTAGCGCAGCGCGTCGCCAATGTTGCCACCGAGGCGGCAACAACAGCAGCAGCAGCAGCAGCGGCAGCAACAGTTGCCACGGCAACAGGCACAGCTGGCGACAATGCCTGCTACTACGATGCGCTCGCGGAGCACGAGGCGGACGGAGATGAGGAGTCGCCAGCAGGACACCTGCACCAGGAGCTGGCACACAGCGCGGCCGCCATTTCCGCGCTGGCCAGCGCGCTGCCCAACATATGCAGCTACGAGGTGACCGCAGCGGGAGCAACAAAACCAGCAGCGGCAGCAGCTGTTGCGTCAACAACGCCGCGCATTGAGAAAATCGTGAATCCGCTGGGCACCGTTACGGATGTGCATGCGGGCATCAGCGGGGAGCTGCAAACGGATATGCTGGACGAGGTGGTCGGGCAGCTGGCGGCGGAGGATTGTGTCATACACGAGAACTGCGATGAGGCGCTCTTTCGGCCCGTGGTTGCCATATTCTGTGATGAGCTCGCCGAGCAGCGACGCCACGAGCAGCAGCTCCAGCGGCAGCGCGAACAGCAGGCGGAGGCAGCCTCGGCCGCCAGCCATGGTCAGCAGCATCAGCAGCAGCTGGACGACCACAACAAGCCGCCCGTGGTGCTGGCCAACAAGCTGATCGTGCCCGTCATAGCCAAGGAAATGGACGAGGTGATCACGCAAAAGGAGAGGCAACAGAAATCATTGAAATCTCAAGCGGCTGCCGAGGATGCGGCACAGGCGCTGCGCTTTGCCGAGCTCTCACATCTCAATAAGCCGGCGAAGGGCAACAGCAAAGCGACAACAACTGCCGGCCAGCTGAAGCCAACAACAACAGCAACAACAACAGCAACAACAGCAACAACAACAACAACTGCCATCAGCGAGGATGAGCAGCTCGAGGATGAGCTGCAGACATCGATTAGCTCCACGCTGTCCCTTAAAACCCAAAGCAACAAAAAGTCCAAAGCGGCCAAGCACAAGGCTAACAAAGCAGCAGCAAATAACACGCAACAACAACAACAACAACAGCAGCAGCAGAGCAACAAGAAAGACAAAAAACAGGCAGCAGCAGAGCAGCAGCAGGAGGAGAAGGAGAAGGAGAAGGAGGAGCTGAAACAGGAGGCAGCGCACAAGCGTAAGCAACAGCCAAAGCCGGAGCAAAGCGCTGAGAAGGAGCAGGAGCAGAAGCTGGAGCAGGAGCCGGAGCAGCAGGCCAAGCTGGCCGAGCCGGAGCAGGAGACAGATTATGCGGATGGGCTGCTGGCCAAGAGAGCAGCCATAGCAGCTGTTATGGTAAGCAGCGCCAGTGCGCAGGGTCTCAATTTGCAAGTGCAAACCGAACCGCAGCCGGAGCAGAAGCCGGAGCCGGAGCCAGAAAGCAAGTCGCCCAAGCAGGCCAAGAGCAAGTGCAGCAAGACTATGGCCAAGGCCAAGGAGCACAATGCCAGCTATCAGGTGAAGGTGCTGGAGCTGACGCCGCAGCCGGGCAGCGCCTGGAAAAGTGTCGAGCAGCAAGCAGCGGCAGCGTCAACGGCAGCGTCAACGGCTGGAAATGATTATCCCAGCCTGAGCGTGGGCAGGAAGTCGGAGAAACTGCTGCCAGGTCTATTGACGCCGCAGCAGGAGCCGCCGGGACGGCAAGCGAGCAATTTTGATGATTTCCTGCTGAGCGTGCTGCGGCCGCTGGAAACGTTGCCGCCGCTGCCCGCGCTCGAGCCGCTCCAGATGCTCGACGAGCAGCTGTCGCAGCCAGCGGACCGTGCGGATGGTGCAGCTGGTTCAGCTGGAGCTGCCACAGCAGCCGACAGTCTGATCAATTTTGAGAGCCCGCTGCTGGAGAATGCGGCCATGCCGCGCAAGATTACGCCGCCGCCGCGTGGCTTCACCGAACAGAACCTGATCCTGGCGCTGTGCGGCTCGCTGCACTATGAGAACGAATACGCACAGCTGTTGGCGGCCAAGGCCAAGGCCGCGGCAAAGGCAAAGACTGGCGCGGAGCCGCGCACTGAGCTGGCCATGCACAAATCGAACAGCTCATCCGGCTCCGAGGAGCTGCTCTTCATGGAGGAGCCCAAAAAGCTGAGCAAGAAGCACAAGCGCAACAAGCAGCAGCAGCAGCAACAGCAGCAACAAGCCGCCGCCGCAGTCGATGATGATGAGGAGCTGCGTCCATTGATCAGCATCAGCATGTGCGAATCGCAGCCGGAGAAGCAGCAATTGCAATTGGATTTCGATATGAAGCAAAGGGATGAGGAAGATGATGCTGATGCTGATGCTGATGCAGATGCTGATGCTGATGCTGATGGCGATGATGATGGCGATGATGATGATGACGATGATGATGTTGATGTTGATGCCGATGCTGGTGTCGATGTCGATGCTCAGAATAGAACACTGCCCGACGATGATTTGCTGTATTTTGGCAGCAGCGCGACGGCACCGCGCTGCAGCATCACCACGGACAGCGAAGGTCCTGTGCCGGCGACCACATCCGATGACAATATCAACTATGGCACAAGTTTGCCAACGGCCGCCCATGCCAAGCTGAAGACCAAAAAGCTGGAGCATAAGATCAATTTGATTGCGGCCATTGAGGCGGCCACCTCATCGTCCACGTCCTCCGCGGAGGAGAGCAGCGTGGAGACGACAACAACGGCAACAGCTGCAGCTGCCGCTGCAGCAGCAGCAACAACAACTGCAACTGCAGCATGTGTGGCAGCAACTGGAGCAGCTGGCGGCGGCGGCGGCACAGCGGATCTGCTGGGCATGGCAACGCCCGTCTCTGCCGCAAGTGTTGCTAACACATCACTGGGCGTGGGCGTGGGCGTAGGCGTGGGCGTGGGCGTGCCCGTTACGGGCCAGCCGAGTGCCACAAAGAAGAAGACGAAGCGTCGCAAGAGATAAGAATTAGCAATATGTTTGTTGTGCGTGTTCAGTCTCGTGGTGCTCTGGCATTTATACGCCGATCCGGCAACGCCAAATACGGCCAGGCAACAACAGCAGCAGCAACAGCAGCAGCAACAACAGCAGCAACAACAGCAACAACAACAGCAGCAGCAGCTGATGTCGCTGCCGCAGGAGGAGCAGCGTTAAATAGCGCAACAAACATTCGCGTTACACACACACACACACACACACAGACACACACGCACTCCAACTGCGCAAACCCTCCCACTCACGCCCACCCAACAAGGACAACAACAACAAGAACTTTCTTAGAACCTAAGTAAATAGCAAAAGCCCCCCCCCCCCCACACACACACACACGCAACTCTCTCTCTCTCTCTCTCTCTCTCTACACATACACACACACAAAACACACACATATAGCCCAATTTCTAAAAGTGTGCAAAAACATACAAAAAAAAAAATTTAAAAATACTAAAAACATACAGAAAAAAAAACAATGTGATTATTGACAAAAAAAACGCGTTTGTAGTAATTCGTTTAAATTTACAAAAAAAAAGCTTATAAAATTATGCTAACAATTTCTAAGTGCAAAAGTTATATTATTAGCAATAAAAAAACTCAATATATATATATACACACACATATATATATATATATATATACATACATAACTATATAAGAGAATTATGCAAAAAAAAAAATTAAAAAAAAAAACATAAAATTCAAAATGCTCTAATTTTTAAAAATGTATATAAAACACAACATTTGACAAAAAAATTACAAATTGTATAAAAAACAAAAACAAAATAAAACAACTGATTGCTCACACACAGACACACAAACACACACACACACAAACTGAGTCCCAGCTTAAAATACTGTAAAAAATAAAAAAGAAACTGTCCAATGCCACAATCTTTGTATAAGCTCTGTGTAATCCGCTGCAGCAGCGCCTGTGCAGCTGCATGCATATGCAAGCACACACACGCGCGCGCACAGACCAGAGTTGAGAACAGATTCGTTCTCATAATTTAGTAGCTGCGCGCATGTCCAGCTGTGCGGGTGTGCGCGCATTGCTGTTCGTGCAGCTGAGCATATTGTGAGAGAAGCTCTCTGCAGCTGTAGCCGCATTTACACAGAGTACAAGACCTGCTTTCGTTAAGTTTTTTGTAACGCCAGCCAACAACAACTACACACAAATCTTCTTTCCCAAACAAAAAGCTCTCAAAAAAATGAACGAAAAAAAATCAACAAAAAAAAAATAAAACTCAACTTGTTACATTTTTGGCGCTTCGTTTAAAATACTTTTTTTTTTTATTATTATTTTCTTTTTTTTATGACTTTTAGTGTGTTAATTTATTTTTTAATTGAGTAAAATATTTCAAAAATATGAACTACATGTAATCCATTTTTTTTTTTTGCCCGTTAATTATAAGCGTTTTGCGTTTTCAATTGTAAAGAACTTTGGCAAAGCTTTTGAAATATTATAAATCAAACAACAACAACAAAATGGTTTTCTGTACATATAACTTGCAGTATTTATGATTTTCAACTGACGAAAAGGCAAAAATGGAAAAAAAAAACAACATTGAGGAAAAACAAAATCGAACTAAAAATTAATTAAATTAAATATGTATAATTAAATAAATGCAATTTTAGTTAAAACTACCATAAAAATCGTCGGATCTTTTATTGCAAAGAAATACCCTGTAATAAATGCATGAAAGAAGCATTGGAAATAACCCACGCTTCTTAACTAAACTAAGCTTCCAGTGTGACCGTACTTTTACGTTTTTACCCTATTATATGACTAAATCATATATAAATTATGCAAACTAGCCTCTGCAATTTTAAAGACTCTTAAATAGAAGTACGGACCCAACTGAAAAGGTCTTCCAGTGTGACCATGCTCTTTAAATTTGGTATCTGACTATATCATATAGATCACTTTAAGATACGACATTACGACAAACTCAATATAGCAAACCCATTGAACTCGGGCTCTATCAGAGCTAGCGACATGAAATTTGGTATTGGGGCTTATCCAGGCCAAATACATGTAAATTTCACAACAAATTGTACCTGCGTCGACCCACTCCACTGTGCCTTGAATAACATAATATCAATTGTTAATATATCATTATTAAATGCATTTCTCTTTTATGTAGGCAACTTTTTTGGCATTGATCAAATGGCTGGACTGGCCAACAACAACAACAACAGCAACAACAATAACAACAACACGATTGTAACAAGAACAACTGCAACAACAACAACCCGAAAGGGTAACAACAAGTCGCAAAAGCTCAACAACACGTTGTGCAACAATCGCAATGCAAATGCCGCACAGGAGCAGCAAATGGATGTGGAGCAGCCCATGAGCATCACACCGCCGCCAACAACAACAACAACAACAAAAACAACAACAACAACAACAGGCAGCCCGTTGCCTGTGCTGGCCACTAAACCAGTGTGCAACAATACGGCAGCGGTGGGCATCGATGGTGAACTTGCCACTGTGGTGAACATCGATGTGTTCGACGATCAGCTGAGCCTGAGCAGCATCAGCACCAACAGCCGCCTCTCGCTGGAGGGGCCGCCGTCGCAGTCGTCGCCGCCGCCGCTGAGCCTCAGCAACGGGCTGATGGAGACGAATCTAATGCATTTCAGCGAGAGCGCCGCGCTGGTCACCATCGATGGCTATGGCGCCGGCCCGGCGGATGCCACAGACCCAGATGGCATACCCAATTTGTGAGAGTTAATCCAGCGGCCGTCGGCGGTGCTATTTGTGCAGCGCGCCACGCTGATCGGTGCGAATTTCAATTTGCGTCGCATTTTTGCCCAACTCTTCAATGCGCGGCCTTTGGTGACAGCTGTTGGCAGCGGCGCCGCCGCAGGCGACAAGTCCTCAACGAAGCCTTCTTAATTCCTATCAAAATAACTATCCCCAAAAAAAAAAAAAAAAACAGAAAATCAAAATCCAAAAAAAAAAAATCACCCTGTTTAAGGTGCTTGTTCTATCATCTCTATGTTAAGTATCCAAGCACACGCGGCGCCAAGTGTCACTTAAGCATAGGATTAATCATAAGCAGAGGCAGTGTTGTGTAGCTGTGCAAAGAGAGCTTTTTTTTTATGTTGTGTGGCGCAAGCCAAGAAAGCTTCATTTTATGAAGCCCAACTTAAGCTGAAAGCTCTTAGCTAAGACTTGCTTCAACAGCTCTAAAAGCGCATTAATGATTTGCAAAAGCTTAGTTCAAGGAGGCATATGAAAAGCTTTTCACATATAAGCCAAAAGTTCGCTTGCCTGAAAAGCTGCGTTTCCGCTTAATCTATCTAAAAAAAGCTCATTAAAATCTAGCAGTTAATCTATTTGGGGGAAAAAGCTCATCAAAAGCTAACAGCTAGAATTTATTAACGCACACCAAGACAGAATTTCAAGCAGATGAAAGCCTTAAATTTATAGAGCTTTAAAGATTGACAAATTGTTGTAGCAGAGCGCTTATTCTTTCAGTCATATAGAGGAAATATTGCTTTTAAAAAAAACAAAAAATAGTTTTCTTTAAGAATATTGCATGCAATAGATATAAAGCTCACTGCAGACTAAGCTAATTTAAGGCACTTTCAAAATTGACCAGTGTTAACAAGCGCAAGTATATTTTATATTTTGCAGCTACTTAAATGCACTTGTTTTTTACAACACTATTTTCTTAAAGCACGATGCAAGAAGCTTTGAAAGCACATCATGAAAGCTGCCATTGAGCTTTGAGCTTTGAGCTCTTCGAAACTTTTGGCGAACGATTAATCCTGGGATTAAGTGACATTTTGCAGCCCGTGTCTGTTCATTTATCAAAATGCATTACTTAGTTCAATTAGTTTTCGTTTTTTTTTTTTATTTCAAATAAGTTTTTTTTAATTATTCTCAACTATTTTATCAGCATATAAATAATTGTTAGCAAAACGCATAGCAAAAAGAAAAGAAAGCCATACAAAAATGCAGAAAGCGAAAAGTGTTAAGAAAAAACTAAAAATATGCCCAAAAAAAAAAAACACATTTAAAACAATATATAGATCAGATCAGACCTCAGCTGAATGCCGTGATATTTAAAATAAAATTTAAACAAAACAAAAATAACAGATACAACAAAATTAAATATTAACCACAAGGAAAGTACACAAAAGAGAAGAAGTAATGATATATGAAAAGTAAACTATACACAAAAATATAATATTAATAAAATAAAAGAGAAGAGAAGAGAAGAGAAGAGGAGAGAAAAATATTGAGCAAAGCGCAAGAAACGCGTTGAAGAAACTATTCAACATATATCTTAAAACTTAAATATGTAATAAATATCTATTATGTGTCTACATACTATATGCATATGTATATATATATATATACTATATACATATATATATATATACTGCATATACCTTATACTTCCATAACTTGTGTGCAAACGTGTGGAAAGCTTACCTAAACATATTATTTCTAGAGCATCATTTTTTTTTTCAAATTCTTTTTCCTTAATATAATTTTTCTATATCTTCAATTTATTTTTTTAAGATCTAAAAAAATATATATATATGCAAAAATGTCAGTTAAAATCTTAAAAATTCCATTCCGATAACAAAAATGTGTCACAATCCAAAACGAAACATTTACAGAACATATCCAAATACAACAAAATAATAACAATATAAGTATGAAAAGATTATAGAATTGGTACTGAACCCAGATCCACAAACTGCTCCACAATGATAAAGTCCATAAGAACAGGCAAAGAAACAGTTTAAAAACAAGCATAAAATAATCATATACATATATATTAAATATTTTTTGTATATATTCAGAGAATCAGATACGTAATACACAAACTATATCTTGTATTACGTATCTTAGCTATATATAGTATAGTATATATATATATATGTATATATATATATTTAGATATGAGCATTACTGAAAAGAAAGAAACTTAAAGCCACTTCCTGATCCACCAAGATATAAAAAAAAAAAAAAAAAAAAAATTACATCAACAAAAAAAATATATAGTTCTATATGCGCTTTGGACAACTGCTGGACAGGAACTTCAGCAAAACAAGAGAGAGTAGAGAATGAGTGAGAAAACGGAGACAGACCAAGAGAGAGAGAGAGCGAGAGAGAGAGAGAGAGAGAAACACAAAAAAATATATGTAATATTATATTAATTATATACTTTACATAAGAATAATATTAATTATATTCTTTACATGCATTCTATTTGATCTATACACATATATACATATATATACATATATATATATATATATATATATATGTATATCTATATAAATACCTATGTCTATATAGATTTCGGTGCTCCACTGACTGAATTTTCGATCAGTAGTACTTTATTCTTTATGTTTTTATTCCGGCAATAGAGCACACACACACACACACACACACACACACACACACACATATATACATATATATATATATATATTGATGAGTGGATAATACTTATGCAATGGCTATAAAGAAAACTGGGTATAAGCGCTCGGAACTTCCACTGTGTGCATTTCTTAAGCAAAAACAACAACAACAACAAAAATTATATTAATAATATTTTCTTTATGTCGAATTTCTCTGAAAACAATTCTATAAGGAAATAAACACTTAGAAAAACTTCTATATTATATATAAAAAAAAAAAGAAATATGTGAAATGCGTTTTCTTCTGTGGGAATATTATTATACTATAATTTTTTGCTCAAGTGAGCTGATTCAAATCGGAACCAAATAACTTTTCTTATTGTGAACCGAACCAGTTCCTCAAATAAAAGTACAATTCATATGTATTTCGATTTATGTACGTTCATTATATTCAAAGCCTAGAACTGAACTGAGCTGGTTCCATTTTGAACTGCATAGTTTACTTACTGTGAACCGAACTAGTTCCGCAATTAGAAAAAACAGCCAAAACAAATGCTTAATTTAATAGAAAAGAAACTCAATACGTCAATTTTTATTTGTTTATCATTTCATGTAACTCAAACAAAGACCTAGTCACAACTCTAGACTTTTTCTCAGGTAATACGAGCTTACTTTCCACCATAAACCTCGGCAATCTTAACCGATTTTCATAATTTCCGGACAATTTTAAGATATAAAAACTTATTTTCTTATTTATCCTCTTTTATTAAATGCAACTTTCAGCTATAAAATGAAAGATACTTGATCTGTATATACTATTCTGGGAGCTACATGATAGGATTGGTAACTCTAGCTCTTAAAGCCTAGGATATTCAATATCGATTTTTATCGATTGCTTGGAAACGGCGCAAGTTATCGATTAACGATTATCGGAAACAATCGTTTTTGGGCTTTCCACACGTTACCTTCAGCATTTTGCCACCAGTGTAAAAGCTTTGCCGCAGTCAAGCGTACGTGAGCTTTGCCCAGGGAGTATCACGTGAAAAAAGCTCTCTAAATAAGCTTTACAGTGCTGGCCAGAAATATAGCAACACTTTGGCGTAGATCGTGGATAAAACATATGCAAACCCATTTCGGGCGTTTGACCAAAGCGAACCCCGCCCCAGGCCCG